AATCCAATGCAGAGGAAATAATGTAATATAATACATTATTTTATATATATATTTATATATGTATTTTTATATGGTCTTAAAGTTGCAACCGGCCCTTTGAGTGCAGCCATGATGCTGATGTGGACCACGATTAAATTGAGTTTGACACCCCTGCTCTTTACTATTTTAGCATAACCACATCACTATGTAACACTCAGGCTTCTATTGGCTAGCGCTCCAACCCATTGTACGTGATAGGCTAAGGGGCGGGACATCTCTAAGCGGTTGACCAATCACAACAGAGCCGGCAAGCAAACCAATCAGAGCAGACCGGGCTGAAAATTCACGCTCCAAAATGAAATGAAAATGTTGCCAGTGCTTCAACTTTTATGGAAACAGGGTCGTACGTATTCTCTACAATCTTTCTGATAAAACGACCAACATACAAGTCGAAAAATTCAACCTTCTTGGCGGAGATTAAATAATAACAGTAACATAAATAACCTCGAATGTATACCTGCTTCTCCTAGAAAAAACTCCCAAACTGGATAAAGCAGGGTATACTCTCTCTCCCACTAGCTTTACAGAGAGGTCACGGGTCAGGCTTATATTGTTGACACCGCTCATTTAACAGGCTTTGACACCAGCGCTCCATCATTTAGAAAATATCCTCACTGACAATTGAAGTGCAGCAGCTGTGATCGGAGGGGTTAGCGGGCGGCGTAGCCTCCGTCTACACAGGAAGAGTTAACAGGAACAATGTGAGACAGAGGAGGAGACAGTTGTTCCTCTTCATCAGATCCTGACAGCGTACACATTCCTGAAAAGACCTGGAACCGAGAGCAGGATGAAATGTGGATTTGCACAGAAATCAAACTCTGGGCAGGTGGTGAGAGTTTATGACATGACGGATGATATTCATATTGTTTCAATCTGACCTTTTTACAAGGCAGTTGTTCAAATCCCTCGAGAGTTTTTGGCAAGATGTGAAAAGCTTCCTGTTAACGCCTTCCTGAGACACTTAGACTGAAGTGACTGTCAAAGGCCTGAAGGACTAGCAGGTGTTTTAGGGGGAAATAAATCACAGAGGAAATGTCGCCGCGAGCTTATTAGCAGTCAGGGAGGAAAGTCTGTGGATGAAGAGGATTTGCTGATAGATTACTGTACGTACAATCAAATAATGACATCAATTTGTTACTTATGTGCAACTGGCATTTGCTTTTCACCCTATCACACATCATTAATGAATCAGACCTAAAATATATTTTATATACAATATCAGTTTGTGCATCTTTTATTTATTTATTTATTTTTATTTTTTTATTGTTTCTTTGTCAAAAATATTAGTTTAAATTCTGAACTAAGTGCATCTGTTAATGAAGTTAGACGATAATTAAAAATATTAAAATAATTTTAAAAAACTTGCTAGAATTTCACTTTCACAAATTACCTTAAGGTTTTGGGTCAAAATGCCAATGTAACATTTTGAGATGCTAGTTTTTAGTTTGGTTCTGAAATTGGTCCTAAATATCATCCCAGATACAAAGCTCTGAAATGTGTTGAATTTGAACTCTTTTCATGTTATTTATTTTATGACTCAGCTGATGATCTGCAACAGACAGTATCTTAAAGGTCCCATGTCATGCTTTTCCGGTTATTACTGTGTGTTATGAAGGTTTTTCTGCATGTAAACGGTCTGCAGAGTCACAAACCCTCAAAGTACACCCTGTAGTGAGTAAAACTCTAACACAGAGAAGACCTGTCTATGCTGCCCCAGAACGCCTCGTTGGACATTTCTCTTTTTCCATTGTTTACTTCTTGGGTATAGTGAAGTATTTCGGGTATAGTGACGTGATGTTACATCCGCGGAGCCGTTACGTTTGGACCAATCCGTGGATTTCCTCATACACACACACTCGGCGGGACGTTGCGAGGCTCGCTGCTGCGAGAAGCGGGACAGTGTGAGCTGGCTCAATGGTGTGGGGTCAGCGAGACACCGCGGAACTCAGCCTGAGCACACACAAAAACTCCCAGCCAGGCTACCGGTGTGTGTGTGTTTCGGGCTGGGTTTCGCTGTGTTTCGCAGAC